CTGGTTGACCAATGACTAAGTCTCTCGATGGAACAGGAGCCCTTGACTACAGTGCTGTGGCAGGAGGCTATAGGATGTTTCTGGTTTTTCTCAACTCGATTCGTACTTCAAGGTAGACCTATATCAAGATGAGAATGGGAGAAATAAAGGAGGGCTACCGGAAGAAGATTATTGATGCCTCCGATTTGCTGGAGTTGACCTCACCAGCAATCACAGCTGTAGACTTGGCTGTTTCAGGTTGTCATCTGGCCCTTCCCCATCAACAAGCCCTGAGTGAGGGGAAAAATAAAATGACCCCGGAGGACTGTTACCGTCTAACCCCCTTGCACAGTCACTGCGTCATAGTGATGAGGTCACAATGCCCGTATCTACGCGCCTACGTGCTCCCCCATGTGGTGAAGGAGGGGCAAAGCAGGGCCCACTTCACCACAGCTCTGTTTCCTCCTCTCCAAGAGCTTAAGAAGATGAAGCAAGAAGCTGGACGGAGTCTCAGGGCTTATGCTTGGCAGTCACCCTAAGAGTGCATGCTGTTTTAACCAACCAATTCAAAGATACTTGCCCTAACCCTTTCTTCCCCATGCCCCAGTCCTGAACTAATTCACTTCCTATTTCTGTCCTGACTTCAACTTACTACCTCTTTTCTGTAGGCATAGAAACTAGAATGCTTAAAAGGGTTGTCCTAATGAGGTGCTCAAGGACCTTGTGCAGAAAATATTTCTTTACAAATAATTAAGAATAACTGTGGTTACTATTCATTGAGTTATTTTATGACCTAGGCTCAGTGGGAAGCACTTTACATTTTCTCATTCAATCCCATAGCAACCTTATTAACCCCAATTCTGAGGAAACTGGTTCAAAAGATTTGATAACCTAACCAAGGCCCCAACAGTTGGTGAAGTGCCTGAATTCAGACCCAGGTTTATCCAACTCCATTTCCAAGCCTTTTACTATCATACTCTCCTGCCTTTTACACACATTATACTTATTCCCCACCCCCATATCTGTGAGATGAGGTATATTGTCCTTTCACTCTATCCTGCCTTGCAGAATTCCTTCTCCCATCATTGTATCTGTTGGCTCATTTCCTCAACAATGTATATTCTGTAACCAATATAAATATTATTGTAGATGGAGAGTCTCTTACTTTTTAAATGTACCAGAGAACCTTGGTTGAGGCTGTTCTGAGTCTCACATTGTGCTAAGGGCTTTATATATGCATTATTTCATTTAACCATTGAAGCAACCCTGTGAGATATGTACTGTTGTTCCCCATTTTATCAATAAAGAAACTGGAACTTAGAAACATTAATTAATTTTCCCAAGTCTAACACATGCCAGAATGGGGACAGAGCCTAAGGCCCATCCCATAGACAGAAGGGTTCAAATAAAAGTATAGAGCACAATCACCATTCAGCATATACTGGCTATAAATGGAACCTAGAGAGCCCACCTTCTTAGCATGACAAGCAAATCAAGCCACATCACAGAACTATACCAAAACTAACACAAATTAGATGTAGGTACATTTTTTATCTTGATACACTTGTAATAATAGAGCTAAAATTTCATGAATGTTTCCCGTGGTTTCAGGCATGGTTCTAAGGAACAAATTACTTGTATTAACTCATTTAATCCCCACAACAATCAAACTACCAGTGAGGTAGATGATATTATTATGCCCTTTTCTCAGGTAAAGATATTGAGATTCAGAAAGGTTAGGTAACTTGATTTAGGTCACACAACTAAAAGTAGAGACAAAATAAGGAAAACTCAGTTATCATTTTGGTTTTTCTGAAATGCCAGGAAAAAGGTGAATGAATTTTGATGTTTGCTTTCCAAATAAAACCATATGCATAACTTATTGTGGGGATGGATGACGTTTGTTTTTTACTTTTTTAGAGGAGGACGCATGTGTTAGGTTTCTGGTTGATGCTTTAAAGGGGTAAAATTAGAAATTACAGTTTAGTGATCTAGAACTGTTAACAAGTTTCTTTTTTATTTTGGTTCATGAAAATTTATATCACTTGAAGGCCATTCAGCATTAGTTTGTGCTTTTCTTTTTAAAGAATGTTGGGTTTGAACATTATGTGATTGTGATTTTAAGAGGATACACCAAAATGCATATTCTTTCTCACATTAACGCAACTTGTCTCATCTTAGAAGCACAGAATGAAATTGCCTCCATCAGCCATGTAAATCTCTCCCCACTGTAGCTAATACACCATCAGGGAAAAAATAGAGGGTTTTTTTAGCATTTAAACAAAACCTTCAATAATCAGTCTTTGCCACAAGGTGGCAGTGTTATCCAGTTGAAGAACCAAAAGTCTAAATGATAAATAGTTTGTTTACATTTAATAAAACTTTAATAAAAGTTCAAATAAATTATTTGAATTTGAGGCTTTTATCACTTTCATATCTTATCAGAAAATTTCCAAAAATATAATTTCAGTCTTAACACACTATTTTATTACAGATCTAGTCTAGGTAGTGAATTTTGTAAGTCAAGACCTGCCAAATTCTCTTTCTAAGACTTCAGAATGTGCATGCATTGTCTGCTCTACCAAAATGTTTTAATTTAATATAATATATAAAGCCACCCCCATAGATCTGAAAATATGGATATGTTTATGCATTTAAACTCTAATGACTACAATATATAAGATCCCCGTTTCTGAAGATGCTAAGTAACATCCAATATTCTGAATTCTGACTCCAGCTTGGTTTCATTTAAATGAATATTCACAACTGAGAAAGTCGTTTGTGTAATTTTCATCTATAGCAAGCAGAGTTTCAATTTGTTGTAATCTCTCTATAGCTTGGAACCAGTATCTTTTTCCTGTCCCTTTTACGTTTACGAGCTTTTTGTTTTTACCCCTGTAAAATGCAAACAAACAAAGAGAAAAAAAGAAAATGAAAAGGCAGAAAATTGAGTGAGGGGAGAGGGCTTAAGGCAAAGAGCTAGACTGGAACAGAGCTAACATATAGAGTATTTTCTGAAATAAAAACTTAAAGTACTTTAGAGTCATTCATCAATAAGCAGCACTTAATACTTTTATAATATTTGCTGTATTCTAGTTTATCAAAGAATACATACTCATTGTAAAACATTTGGAAAATACCTGTAACAGACAAAAAAATTACCTCTAGACCTTGCTCTGATTGGAAATTAGCACACCTAAGAATTTGAGTTTTCTTCCATTCCAGACATCATTAGTAAATTTCCAATTAAGGGAAAATCATCACTTTGCTTATGCTGTCTCTTTGCTTAGCTGAAGAGGCAGATCAGGGATACACGGCTTTTTTGCTTAGAAAAGTTCCCCAACAGCAACTTTTTATGAAAGGCAAGATGGGTCCAGAGCATGATCTGGGATGGGGAATTAAATTGCTTTGCATTTAAAAAGAACTTAGCGGCCAGCCAGCGGCGGCATATTGGTTAAACTTGGCAGGAGCCACTTCCACAGCCCAGGGTTCATGGGTGCGGACCTCCACCACTCATATCAAGCCACGCTGTGGCGGCAACCCACATACAAATAGAGGAAGATTGGCACAAATGTTAGCTCAGGGCCAATTTTCCTCAAGCAAAAAGAGGAGGATTGGTAACAGATGTTAGCTCAGGGCCAATCTTCCTTACCAAAAAAGAAAGAAGAACTTAGATTATTTTCAGGGAGCAATCTGGAGAAATTCCAGGAACCAGGAAAAGAAAGGTTAAATGAACAGGAGAAGTTCTTGGCTTGTGGAGCACAACCTGGCAAAATGGTGGTAGGCTGAGTCCTAGGGTACAAGACAGCCAGTAAAGGTTCTCTTTAAGATGTTAGTATTGTTTTAAATTGTTTCATATTAGATGCTGCGTGGACATATGCCTCCCTCCTCTCCAGTAATTTAGTGGAGGTCACTTACCACACACTAGCCTGGTATTTGTAGTAGTTTTTGGTCATGAAGGTGGAGGGATGAAGGCTACATGCCAGGCAGAGGTGCTGAAAGAAGACAGCAGCT